GGTGAGGAGGTGGGTGGGCTGGGGGGTGGGGTGGGGGGTGGGGGAATGTCAAGCCTGTGATGGCACGAGCCTTGGTTTCTCTTTCTTTTCCCACCGCCACCCCCCCCCCCTTCCCAGGGAACACACCTTCTCACACCCCCCCCCCAACACTGCGGCCCCTGCCCCGCCGCCCGCCACGTCCTTTCTCGACCCGCAGGTTTTACTACGACTGCTTGATGAAGCCCAACGCCAAGTCCGTTACCACCGCGCTGCGGAAGGTCAAGGATCTGCCGTACACCCTCATTGCCAACGGTCACGGACCGTTGCTGCGGTACAACGTGTCGGAGTTGGTTGGCGACTACGGCCGGTGGAGCGCGGCTCTGGGAAAAGGCTCCACGAGTGTTGCCGTACTGTACTGCTCGGATTACGGCTTTTCGGACCGGCTGAGTCAGACCCTTGCCAAGGGTATTACCAAGGTACGTGTGTTTGGGTGTGGGTGTATTTGGGGAGGTGGGGAGGGGAAAGGTGGGGGGGATGGGGGGGCCAGAGGAGGGGGGGCCGTTTGTTTGTAGGAGGATGCTTCAACGGTGATAGAAAAGATTGATAAGTAAAACTCAACTAGTAGTGGGATGAGAGGATGCGGGTGGGGCATTGGGAAAGCGATGTGGTGATGGGCAAGGCAGTAGGTAGGTAAAGTAGTCGTACACGGAGTGCATGGGCCGATAGAAAGTACGATGGCGAAATTGGGGTGTGGGCCAAAGAGGGGCAGTGGGATGAAATCGGTCAACCCGGATACCCCCCCCCGGGGTTTCAGCTTTCGGACCACTTTCTTTCGTTCAGTTGATCAGGAGCAGCGGCACGCGATTCTTTCTTGACATGCATTCCGGTATGTAGCCCCTCCCCGCCAACCTCCTCTTTCCCCGCCCTTCCACGACCCTCATTGCCCCGGTTCTCTTGATCCTTTGGTTCTGTGTGCACACATGCATGTGAGTCTCGCTACCGTTCCCCTCATACCCCTCACCCCCCACCTCGACCACCACCACCACCACTTCCCCGCAGGCGGGAGTGGCCACGGATATGATCGACCTGCTGTCGGTGGACCCCCAGGTGGGTGCGGGAGGGGGAGGGGGAGGGGGAGGGGGAGGCGGGAGTTGCAGCAAAGAGTCGACCTGGATAGTCTAGTGTGCTAGACTCAAAACGATCCACCTTATCCTCCTCCTCCTCCCCATCACCATCCTTCTTCATCCTCTCCCCCTGCTACTGCTATTGCTGCTGCTGCTACTGCTGCTGCTGCTGCCCTCCCCCCCCCCGTACATACATACACACACAGGAGCTGGTGGCGGTGGTGGGTCGCTCGGCGGGTATCGTGCTGATGAGCCCCCCTCGGGATAGCGCGGACGCGCGGACCAGTCTGGCGGCGTTGTCCTCCGCCGTGAAGCCCAGGACCAAGGTGCGGTGCGGCGGGGGGGGGGAGGGCGGATTTCACCGGGAAGGGGGAGGGGAGGGAGGTACACAGTGCCACGGTCAAAAGACGTCCAAAGATCGGCACGAGAGCGGAAGGAGGGGCAAATAGAGAAAGGGTTGGGTTGGAGGGTGGGATGCCATGACATGATGTCGATGTCGATGATGAGGATGATGAGAATCAAAATGATGACAACGACGAGGAAGATGCCAACGTTACAAGAAAACAACTGCCGGGACAACGGTCGCCAGCAAAGCAAAGAGCTCGGAAGGGGGAAGAGGAGTGTCGAGAGGGCGCGAGGGGGGGGAGAGGAGCGGGCGGCGGAGAGGAGGGGGATCAGCTCGTGCGAGCTCGTGTGCCGGAGCTACGGGGTGGGCAGGCAGCGAGCGCCTCGAGCGAACCTGGCGGTGTGGCTCATAGGTGCTCACAGCCGAGATCAAGGCGCATATATCTGTACGTGCACTCCGCGAGTTCATGTTGCATGTTCATGCATTTCTGTTTTTTTGAAATCGCCGGTGGCCACTTCCCTCTTGCCGTTCCCCTACCGTCCGTCCAATTTTCGTTGTTTTACATGTATAGGTGGTGATTGCCGAGTCGTACGGCGGGCGGGACGAGCCAGTAGATGTGCTTGCCGCGAGCCTTGTGGATGTGGGCGCGGAGCTGCTCGCTCCTCCGCTGCGCATCAAGGACTTGCCCGCCCAGTCTACCTACCAGCTGTTCGAGGAGGAGGGTGAGGGCTGGGATAAAGTGTGTGTGTGGGGGGGGGAGGTGTTGTGGGTTTGCTGCATTTGTGCGTTTGGCTTTTTTGCTCTCCCAAACTTGTTGGTTTTTTTCTTTCCTCATTTTTTTCTCCAGCCCCCAACCAAGCAGGTGACATGGTGGTTACTGTGGTTACGCGGCGTAGTTGGCGCGCAGTTGGGTTTTGGAAGTTAATTCTCGGCATCTTGTACAATCATCATCATCAGAACCAGCACCATCGGCATCTTTTCCATCATACGATTCCCCCTCTCCCCTCCTACCTCCTCTTTCCCTCTCACCTTCCCACCTGAACTACCCTAACCGCCATCTCCCCCACCGCTCCCCCCACCGCTCCCCGCTCAGGTACCGATCTGGCTCAGGCCCTGACGGCCAAGGAGACGCTGGCTCGCAAGAAGGCCGCCATGTCCAGCGACGTGGCTAAGGCCCTCGCCCGCCTGTCCTCCGGTTTGTACGTGGTGACCGCACAGCACAACAACGCCAGGTCGGCGATGGTGGCGTCGTGGGTGTCGCAGGTAAGGGGGAGGAGGGGGGGGGGAAGGGGGGGAGCAGGGGGAAGGGGGGAAGGGGGGGAGGAGGGGGAGGAGGGGGAGGGGGAGGGGTGTCTCTGCGGGGCGGAGGTCCTAGTGGCGACCCTAAGGGGTTCAGGGGGTGTGGATGGGAGGGGGGGAACTGGGTTGGGAGGTACCCAGTGCCGGATGCTGACTGGCTGGCTGGCTGGCTGGCTGGCTGGACAAAAGTCGTTTGTTGGTTGGTGGCTAGTTGGGACTGGTTGCCTGGATGGCTTTGATCCCCCGGGCTTTGTTTCGAGGGCTTCAATCTCCGTTCCGTCGTTAACTCCACCATCTCTCCCCTTCTCTCACATACGTCCGTATACACACAGGCCTCCTTCGAGCCCTTGGGTTTGACCATTTCGGTGGCCAAGGACCGTGCCATTGAGAGCCTCATGCAGGTGGGGGAGGAGTGGAGGGGGGAGATCAGCGGCGGGGATTTGGGGACGAGGAGGGGTAAACCGGCTGGGGGGAAACCAGGTGGCTGGGCGTGTTTGCGGTTCATTGTGGGGCCCCCTCGCACTGGTTTGACGTTTCCGGACATCCCTTCTTTGCCGCCGATTTCTTTTTCCAAAGGCCCATGCGCCCCCTCAGAAACCGGTACTCCGTTGCATAGTAGTAACATGCGCAGTGAAATGAAACACCCCTCCAGACCGCCCCTTCTTCCCACGAACTGCTGCATCCGTTTGGGGCTGTGTGGTCGGAGACCTGTTCTTGTTAACTGCTGCTACTGCTACTGCTACTGCTGCTACAGTTTGTTACCGGCTGCTGCTGCTGCTATTGCCGCTGCTTTGGAGTAGTAGGTTTCATCTTGTTGATTATTCTTTCCACCCGCGCACAACCAACAGACCACACGCCAACAACCAACAAACCTCCTTTCCATCACCAACACACAAAGCACAACACACGCACCCGTTCCCCCTCCCCCTCTCTCAGGTTGGTGACTCGTTCGTCCTCAACTGCCTTGGAGAGGACTCGTACGCCCCGCTGCTAAAGCACTTCTTGCAGGTAAGCGGCGTGAGGGGCTTTTGGGGGTTTGTGGCTGGGATGTGTGTGTGGGGGGGGGGATGTGTGTGTATGTCGTTACAGGGTGGTTAAGCTTCACCAGCGGCCCCCTTTCCCGAGGCAGTTCCCTGCTCTCCCCTGCGAGAGGGGCACCCTAATCCGTTCACCCCATCCGACTTCAGAATGTATTCGTTGGGTTCAGCAACTCACCACCAGCATCCAACCAAATCTAGCGGATCAACGGCGCCTCAACTGTGTGTGTATGTGTGTAGGGATGCCGCGGGCTTTGGGAGGGGAGCAGGGAGGGAAAGGTCTTCCGGGTCCCACACCTCCCCCCTCCCCCACAGCTGATTTCCCCTTGATTTAGCATATGATTCGCTTTTGCCCCCTCCCCCCTCCTCTGTCCTCCCTCACCACTCGCCCTCCTCCTCCTCTCCTCCTCTCCTCCTCCTCTCGCCCTATTTTCCTCCGCCTCCCCCTCCCCCGCCTCCTCCTCCTTCAGCGTTTCGCCCCGGGTGCGGACCGTTTCGAGGGCGTGAGCTGGTTCCCCGCACCTGAGACCAAGTGCCCGGTGCTGGCGGAGGGTATCGCCTACATGGAGTGCCGCGTGGTGTCCCG